ATGTCCCTCTTGTGGTAGGGGGCTCAAAATTGGACACATGTACATGTTATTGTATATATTCTGTTGATAGAAAGCTTCTGACACTAGGATGCTTATATTCATGAACACAACATACAAAAAGGAAAATTATGTTTATCAGCTACACAGATGTTGAATTCTCTTCCATTCTTGTATTCTTAAAAATACATTTTAAAATGTCAGGAAATGCAAAACGGGTGACCTTTAATCATATTTTGAGGTACAGATTTATTCTATTAGAAATAGCAGACATAAAACAGCAGAGATTTTTGTTTAAGTTGTCCGTTAAACGGATGCATACCAATACCTGACAGAAGCCACGGTATTCTTTCTATGTAGTGCTGCAACAATTTCTCCAGTTGTTCAGTGTAGATTTCAAGTTCTTTAGGTTTAAACTGCAGATGTTTCACAACTCTCTGGAAAATTTCAGTTTGTACAAGAGCATCTTACTTAACGAGATCTGAGTTCAGCTGCTATATATGCAATGTCTGCATTACAAATCAAGGAGATTAGGTTTTTTGTCTTTTCCTGTATGAAATATTGTAAGAAAGTTTCTGCATCTCTGTTGCTACTAAATATCTGATTTACCCAAATTAGGAAAGCCTAGCTCTCATCTCAGCCAGTTGTACTGGGCAACAAAATTACACAATTTGACTGGACAGGTGCATCTGTTGTATTATTTCTGACAGTTATATAGATACAATAGAGCAATAATATCCTGGATTTAACTTTCTACACTTCTCTCTGGTCATTACATAAACCTTAACAATCAAGATACAATATTTTCCCAGTTTCGACTCATACATGATTTTTAAAAGATTAACATTTTAAAATTATTGTTCACACTGTATGAGCAGAGGAGATTCCTATACATGCTAAAGATTCCATGCAGCTTCCACTTCAAACATACTAAATATTTTTTGTGGTGGATAAAAGACCTTCTCTAGCTTTCTAATACAAAAGTAACTTAGAAGAGCAGGGAAGAGTGGAAGTAACATCACACTCGCAAGCCACAACCACTGATCAACATGCATTGTCCTACACAAAGTCTTTCAATGAAGTAGGTATATGACATCTGCAAAAGCTTACATTGATTTCTACACTAGGGAAGATAGTACAGTATTTTGCTGATACTTTCTTGTGCAGAGACTTCACAGTTTTCTTCTGGTGAGTACAGCCTGGACCAAACATCAGCCTGGGCAATTCCAGTTTAAGCTTTTTAATACTGTACTTGGTTAGCCACTTGTAAGACAAACAAATGGAGCAACTGGTTGTTAGTAAATACTAGAACAGCTTAAGTAATAATACATTGTACAGAATCATAATTAACATGTTCACATTTATTCACGTGGATAATTATGAAATGGGAATTTATTAGTAAGGAGCAAAATACCTCTTTGCTTGAACAGATTTCCTCTTTTTTTGGCAACGTAACAGAGGGAACAGGCTTTCTTATGCATGTTATCTTTGGATACTTTTGGTGTACTGTACCTAGTTAAGAAAATGAACAAAGCACTGAGTTTAAATCATAGCCTATTAAAATCACATAAGACTGTTGATTAAAAAAATAAAAGAACCCCACCCCCCAAACCCTAAAGACTAGCATTTCATATACAATTCCACAGTTGAAAAAAATTCAAAGTTTCTATATAGCAATGTACTTCAAAAAAAATTACTTATTTTTAAAAACTGTCACCCTCACAAAATTCCAAACCAAATCTTCTGTCATCATCTAAACCAAAATGACAGCATTTTTCTTTAGAGCATCTTTAACCAAGATGCAAAAGATGCCAAATGACTTTACAATAAAAATGAAACCCCCAAAAACCCAACAAACCACCTCCCAAAAAAGCAAAACAAAACAAAAAAAGAGCCAAAACAGAGGAATCTGGGTTTTTTTGCTCCCCCCTTCACCCTCAAAAAAACTAAAAACCAAAACAAAAAACCCCATCACTATTTGGTAAGTGAAACTCACTTCTACTCACTATTTAAAGCACACTGGTTATCAGGGACTTAACATCCTAACAGAAAACTGTTTTACAAAATAGGCAATCAGGGTCAAGTTAATTCACCTTATCTTAAAATGCTAGTCACTATCTCTTCCTTTGAAGACAGGCTTGTGCTAGTCAGATCAAAGGCATATCACTGAAGCAAACAACTAAAAATATTATGCTCTCCTTCCCCCACAACTACTTCTTAAATCCTTTGCTGCTTTTTTCACCTCTCCCATTTCCTTCTCTCTTACCATCTACCACTGCAATCCTTTTCTCCACAACTGCAATACCCTTCATCCATCCAATCTTCTCTTCAAACCAGGATTTCAACCGTTGTCTCCCCGCCATTAAAGTCACTACATGCCTTAGGGATAAGCTTAAACAAGCAATCAACAAGCAAAGCAAGTTTCTATGCATTAGCTAATCAAAAGTAACTCCTTATCCTTCTGACCTCCTCTTCCTCCAGTCACTGCTAACATCCAAACCATCGCTCATGATCAACGCTGTAATTTGAATAACGCTGCTAGGTCTTGCATTGATGCTATTCCATACAAAAATATTCCTATCCCAGACACCGCCATACTCATATGATCTCTCTTACAAGTCCCTGCCTTTTCTCCTATGACCCCCTTCCCTACCCACTTGTCCTTACTGCAATATTGCCTATCTGAAGTCTCCTATTTTTCTGCTTTCATCTGCAAAAGAGCTCTTAGCCCCCAAGTCTTCTCTCTTAACACAAAGGACAATCATCTGGAAATAATTGCTTCCCTTCCACTGTCAAGCCTGTCAACACCACTTGGTTACCACTTCTGGCTTTGGGAAGAACCAAGATGAATGCTCCAAACAACTTTTTTTTTTCATGTGTGCAAATCTGCTTTAAAGAAAATACATCGCTACATCAAGAACTCTTTAATGAGTAGGTTAGCTTCCCCACAAGTATACGAGAGAAGATATTGCAGCTGAATAGGAAAAAAATGACTGGACATTTAAGGAAGTGTTAACACAATTACTTACAAGAGAAGCAGGATTGCTGCAATCATATGTAACAGCATGAGTCTGCAGTTTCCTCCCCAGCATATGCTGCTGAGCGTAATCAGACAGTATTTCAAAAGTCTGATCAGGGCTGATGTAAATAAATAAATAAGGCAGGAAAAAAACAAGAAAAGATATTAACAATGATAGGAATCAAGTGCGTAAAAGATGCCATACTAGAGAAGACAGGAAAGAAAACTAAGTGGGAATTAAATAACAAATCATGGGAATGTAATTCAGTCATTTAGCATAACTGGACCTCCTCTACCACTTATAACCATTACTGTGGTTCGACTACTGGAGTTTAGTTCTGTCCTGAAAACCTGAACAATAATAAAAGCACTAAGATTCTTTTTCAGTTCGTAACGGCTTACGGATGAAACGTTCTAAATTATTCCTTGCTAGCCCTGGAAGCTAAAAATAAGGAATTGTAGTTTTATGGCCTGTGACAAAGTGCATTGGAGAAGTTTTCATCTCAGATCTTCAGCTGTATGTAAAGATGCCCATTGTCTTCCAAAGGCAGTAAAGAAAGCAAAACTTTGCTTTGTGTTTAGAATTTAGCGACCCACACAGCTTTCATTCCCTGAGCGTTGATGGTTCTTCATGGCTAGTAAAAACCTTTTCTTCCAGCTTCACTTCTGTCAGGGACAGAAATTAAGGAAGTTTTCACTTGCACATACTACACACTTTTGCCTTCTGTTCAAAGCAGACCTAAGCAAAACTTCGAACCTTTTAAGTGAACACTGTGTGTTCAGTAAGTCAGCCAAAATGTAATCTCAATCACCCTAAGTATCAAGCTTGCCAAGCTTATAAACATCGCTTTTTTGCACATTTAAAATAAATATAATGAATAAATTAGGAGTATGGTAACACTACCAGAATCCTTACTGTAGTCTTTTTCTTGTAATCCTGACTCCAATACTGCAAATTTTCAAACGATGACAATAGAACCATAATTTCTGGTAGAAATTATGTAGGAGAACCAAATTCCATAATTTACCTAATCTCAGCCTGGTTTCATTTATTTAATCAGACACCTATGTTTTCCCATCAGCACCATTAAGATCACAAAGAGAAGACTATCTTTGAATGCTTACTGCTATTTTAGAGCAAAATCTAGCCCATCCTCTAATCTTCCTAGAGGTGTGGACCCTTTCATTGACATCCTAAATGATGCTGAAGGATTTTTATTGATGTAAAATGAGAGCTAGCAGACTCTCAGTGGATTACTGCGATAACCAATCTGCAAAGGAATAACGTAGTTCCATATCAGAAAAGAGAAGATTTATAAATAGTTAAAAAGGGAAGAACTAAGGTAATTCAGTGGTATGAATTAGAAATACAAAACCCATGGATGTTAAATTTTGTATTTTTTTTTTTTTATTTATAAATAGTTAAAAAGGGAAGAACTAAAGTAATTCAGTGGTATGAATTATAAATACAAAACCTGTGGATATTAAATTTTGTATTTTTTTTTTTTAATCAAGTTCAGATTCTTATATCAATTCTGTATCCAAGTTAAATCTGGTTGTTAGGACAGATAACTAATTTACCAGCTTCCTACAATAACAACCAGCGAATTCAGATCTTTCATCGTAAGGACATGCTTTAAGACTTTCAGCAAATTGCAGCCTTGACCAGGCTCCAGCTGTTGTATCCACTGTCTTGCTTCATGTAGCCTGCAGGGGGGGAAGAAAAAGAAATATGTATACTTAACATGCGGGTGCTAAACAAGATAGATCGTGAAGATTGCTACAAACCACTGTAGCTGCGAAGGTATTTTATGCATGAGCAACCAGCTTGAAATCACTGACAGCACTTAAAATTCATTGCTTTTTTTGCCCTCTTACAAATCACTGTGGGCATGAGATGAAAAACAGTATTTATTATCTACAGGAGATTGCTCTAATTAAATGGAGACCTTGTTTGAAACACCTTAATGTTTCAGAGAAATTACTTACTTTCACATGAACATTGATGTTTTTTGGACTCTCCCACAGAGGTGAAATTTCTGTACTGAATGAGAGGCAGTACAATTGCTTCTTATAACATAGCTGTTCATCTATTAAGCACTAATAAATAAAAAATTGTTAATGCATTACTATCCAAGCCACTTTACTAGGGTTATTATGTAAAAGAGTAAAAACAGTAATTTCCTAAAAATAGTTCACAGCCATTTTTTCAGCTACCAGAGAAAAGCTTCCAAGAAAAAGTCATACATACTCAAATATTTGGTAAGGAGTACAGAAACAAAACCTGCAAACCTATGGTAAGCCAGCAAATTTGTTAATGGGGCAGGAGGCAGTGAATATTTATTGTAGCGGTATCAGTTCTTCTCTTCAACTGACAGGCACATGAAACAACATACTGACCTAGAACAGGCATATTCACCCACCAAGCAATGACTAAAAAATGTTTAATACTTATTAATGAATAGGCCTGAACAATAGTTCAGGCATTTAAGTTAAGCCAACCAGACTATGTGGAAATCCAGTTTTCTTGAAGGAGTTTTATTTAAAACACAAAAATGAAAAATGCAGATAATATAAACAGAGGTTAAATAATTCCTGAATGCAGGATATTAAAATATATGAAGTTTCAATGTTAGATAGTAAAACAGCTACATCATATCTTCCTTCCTTACTACAAAAATTTTATAAAAATAAAGAGCACAATAAAGGGCAAGTTTCTTTTGTGACTTCGGGAAGTGATTAACTTACCGAGGGTCTGACCAAAATTGTGAGGTGTGCCTTATTGTGACAAAACATAAAGGCATAAAGAAACTATATTTACTATAAATAGCTCTATGTAGAACCTGGTTCTAACCAAGTTACAGCTGTTTCTGTTAGGCAAGTTTATTCCATAGAGAATACTGGCACAAGAATTAAGAAACTTCCAAATATCAATAAGGAAAGTATTATTATTATGGTACATACTGGAGTTTATTTGGATCTAGACGTTAATAAAGACTACATTTTCAAAGGCATTTACAACATAATTTTCTACAACAGAAATTGTCTATTGTACTGTATATAATGAATTTAAGCAGATTTTTTTCTATTTAGCTCCTGGCTTGTAGTTACACAAAAGCTTGATTAGTATGTTATAATTGCCGAAGTCTGCTTTATTACAACTTACCAAAAGGTCCTTCTGAAAATCCAGTAGTTTAGGTCCATAACTCATATGAGACACAACAACCATAAGTCCAACTTTCGTTCCCTTTATTAGGCCAAATACCTTAAAAGACAAAAGTAATTATAAATACTAAGCCTATCTGAAGTTAGATAATTTTACTGTTTATTCTGTACAATTAAAAAAAAAATATATTAAGTTTTTCATTTTAAACTTTTTATCCTAAAGATGACAGTGACAAAGCCAAAAAGAAAAAAAAAAAAATTAGAGAGAGGCCTACTGGCTCCCAGTTTATCCTTACCAGTGAATCATACTCCCTCCTTCCCACGACAACCTTATTTGAGAGGATAAAAAATAACTTTTAAAATAAAGTCTACATCATGTGCTTCAGGTTAAATGAAGCAACTTTGTGGAAGCTAGATTTTGGAATGCTGCTTCTTTCTCTATCCCCTTTGAGAGAGAGTTACATCCCTTTCCCATTCCTGAGCGTTAGCACCCCTAGGGACAGTAACTGATTATTCAGCTGTGCACAAGGGGCACAGAGGGCACAAGGGACTACAAGACAGTTCCACCCCAGTCAGGGATTAAACTTGGCATTGTCCTGATGATTAAGACTGCAAAGAAAAAGAGAAAGACAAGATCTAGAAAGCAGAAAACCACATACCAATAAAAGATCAAGAAAAACAATTCCTTGACAAGGTAAGTATCACTGCATATGTAATTCACAGTAAATAATGAAAATACACAACCTTTCTGGAAGCCACTTTTCACTAGTATTCAAAAGTTAATTTATTCTTTAATGCCATATATGGTTCTAAAAATGCACTGCAAAGTTAAAGTTACCTTTCTGCTGTCCTGCAACAGCCACTGAATTCATTGCTGGTAAAGTTCAATTGCTCTGACAAAAGGCATAGCACACGTTTAGCTACGGCATTCACTTGCATTGTGTATCACTGTAACAATCAACCTCTTGTCATCATCACATACTTTTTCTCACAGATGCAAAATCTTTGAGAAACAAGATTTAAAAACACTGTTTTCAGTGTTCTCATACAGTTACTGGTTGCAGGGTTAATCGTTTAAATACTTCTTCTCCTAAAGTTGTTTGACTGATTAGATATGCAGCTGTCT